ATAGATGGATTATACCGGAGACAAAAAGCATGTAGCCGTTTCACTGCATTACTAAAGTTTGAGATTTTATTAATGAGTAACTTTGCAGTCAGTTATTTCCAGAAGTACAAGGGGGCTTTAAAAATCATAGAAAATTGGAATGAAAAGATGGAATTTTTCCACTAACTTTTTGAAGTCCCCTCATATATATTTAATTTTTATTTAAAAAGAAAAAATTAAGTACCCATATTATTTATAGAGGAAAGACAAATCTCTTCTTTAGCTCCTTAAAAAAATCCCCCAATCACTGGCTGCCTTCAGTCACTAGATGCATGAAAGATGGTTATACTGCTGCCATTCTATTCACTTAGAGTCTCTGGGCTGTGGAGTAAATGCAGATAATTTGCTAACACTTTGACCTTGAGCAATTTGATAAACTTCTATACACCTTAGTTTTCTTATCTGTTCAATAGAAATTATGATATCTGCTGCTTAGGCATGCTGTGAAGATTAAATGACAATACCAATAAAAAATAGTGATACTTTTTAAACATTTCCTTTATGCCAGGTACTCAGCTGGGGCTCTGCCATATCTTACTGCATTTAAATATTACTTAAATATTTGTATCACCAACTTTTGATGAGGAAATGGAGTTTTACCGATATAAGAAACAGAACAAAACCCAACTTGCTTAAGGTCACATAGGTATGAAGTAGAGACAGTGCAATTTAGACGAAGTATATACTTTCCCAAAGCCTCTGCATTTCTCATATGTTATGTCCTTTGCACATTACAGCAATTTTCTAGACTGTAAAGCACTCTCAAAATTGTGGTTATTATTATTTATGCCCAATTAGGGGAATACACTTATTTATTATATTTTAATCAACCTAAAGGGTCCCTAGTGGTGCTGTGGATCATGCAATTGGCTGCTTACCCCAATATCGGCCTCTCTGCAGAAGAATGATGCTGCTGCCTGCTCCTGAAAGGATCTGTCATTTTGAAACCCCTAGGGAGCAGTTCGACTCTGCTCTTAGGGCCACTAGGAATCATAATTAGCTCATGAACAGGGGGCTTAATTTGGAGTTAATTGCTACAAAGATATTTTGTGACTGTAGAGATAGTCCCTGATAAGTAGACACAAGACCATTGATATGGACTTTGAGAGACTGTAAATAAATAATACACGTATTGATTAGAGTGGGTTGATTCCTATTGCCACCCAGGCTGCTGGGGCTCATATGTACAGAAGAGCCTATTGACTCCAACCTCATATCCAACTGGGCTTCAGAAGCCCTTCCCTCGGAGCAAACACAGGGCACACCTGCCTTCCTAGTCATCCATATAGAATATCTGTGAAATGTCCTTTTTGAAATAGAAGACGTCTTTTGGATTCCAGCAATTGCGGCCAAATTGAATTTTCATTTGCTTCGACACAAATTGCAATCAGTGACGTGGTTTCTGAAAAAGTATTTTTATAGAGAAGATAAAGAAAATCATCATAAAATCTCTTAACAGGCACAGTGTCTTTCTTTTTGGGAAAGGAAACAGGATGTTAGGAAGAAGAGTTCTGACCGTGCAAGTGAAAAACCTAGGCATGATGTCCAATGGTTACTTATGGATTTTAAAAAATTCAAATCTATTTGCATTCTTATATTCTAACACTCAATTCCTATGTTCGACAAGTTCTTCATTCATATAACAAATATTTATTAAGCACCTAGACCCTATACTAGTTGGTGTGGATACAGAAATAAATGACACAAAATGCTGCTTCTGTAAAGTTTACATTCCAGCAGAAGGGAGCATTCCAATAAAAACTGAACATAAAATTTATTAAGGGAACACGGTATGTTATGGAGGAAGAGGAAGCAGGGAATGGAAATAGAAGACATGTAAAGGGATATAATCTGAAAGATGGTTTTTAGGGATGTCCTTTGATAAAGTGACATTTGGGCAGATACCCGAAGAGTAAGAGATGAGTTCTCTAAGGGGACAGCAGGAGCAAAGGAAAGCACTGTGAGATGTGAGAATGTTTGATCTGTGTACTGCTATCTCTCTATCCATGTACATTACCATCTCTTCTAGGAAACTTGAGGTAAGGGGTAGACTTCTGTTTCTGAGAAATGATGACACCAAGTTATTCATGACATGCACCAAAAATCTCAATGAGATTCTAGCAAGAGAATGGCTTCTCTGTGCAGCTTTCCAATAGAAAGCAGTTTTCATAAATAACTATGAGATAAAGAGTCAATAAGTAGAGAATGATATAAAGTATAATAATGGGAAAATATGGCAATAGATACGCATCTAAATCTTTGTCTTCTTGTGGTTACTAATATAATACACTCTCTGAAAGTTTTCCTAACCCTACCAATGAATAAAAAGAATAAAATTCACCCATACTTCCATACAGAGATAACCATTGTTACCACATTGTGCTATTTTTCTAGGGTTTTTTTCTTCACATACTGGCAGAATTCTATATATAATTATTATGATCATCTGCTTTTGGATATGCTATAATAGCACGCAGTTTGGGAAGATGCATTTTTCATTATATTGTAATGAGAGAAGAAGATTGCGTTAGCTGGAGAAATGCCTGCTCTGATACCTATCAGTAAACTAGAATGATGACTGGGTGCGTATGAGAGAGGCAGAGAACAAGGACAAGCTTGGATGCTCAGCGACTGATGTGATGACTGTGCTACCTACCCATGGGGACTGAGAAAACAAGCATGACGAAAGCTTTGCCTATTTTTTGTGTGTGTCGTGGTGGAGCCCAGTCTTTTTCTTCTTCTATAACTAGAGACTTACTGTTATTTTGCTGTTAGGTGTAGCAGAAACCGAAAGAGAAAGATAACTGAAAATGTTTCAGTTGATGTTTACCCATGTAAGCAGACGACTAAATTAATGTTCAACACAAAGTGGATTGTTTTGAATAAATTACGACTTTGGTGGTCTCCGAAGTTCACAGAGACAAAAATGATCCCATCTCCTCTGCATTTTTCACATTGTGTGGGGGCACAGCTTGAAACACGAAAATGATCATTTTTATCCACATATCTCTGAAAATGATGAGAAATCAGTTTAGTTTGTCAGGAACATGTTGTGAGCACGCATACAGCAAAACAATTCTTTCTGTTGACAACTTTTACCGCACGCATTGCTGCTGAAAAGAATTACTTGAAGTCATTAGACTCAGAAGAGATTGGTGAAGATCGAAAACAGTGAAATCATTTGAAAAAAAAATGACATTAATGAGCCCAACAGAAGTCATATTCAGATTTGGAATTGTGATAGCAGTGAGTGAAATGTGTGTGCAGGTACATAGCACGCTTCTGTCTGTGTACAGCAGTCACTTGCCTTCCCTCTAGGAATCCCTGAAGGGAGAGCTCAGTCAACTAGAGACTCGGACTTTACACGGTCAAGGTCACACCATTCACTGGCCACATAAGAGCACAAAACAGTGCAATAACCATCAATTGCCCCAGGTGCTCTATACAGCCATCTCATGGACATGTGAGAGTTCAGATGGATCAGTAATATCCACCAAATTATTAAGAAATAGACACACCACTGTAAGCACACACGCTACCCACCATAGGGCAATGATTTCAACTTTGCCTGTGAGTGGCAGGAGGCAGACAGAAGCTCACTAAAGCACAAACTTGTAACCACAAAAGCAGGGCAAGTAAAAACCCCACTTTAACTTCCGTACTTAACCAGACGCAAACAGACCAGCATTCTCTTTCACTTTCCCCCCTCCTTAACAATGCGGGAATACAGAACCTGTGGCTGCCTTTGGAGAAAGAACCCTGTGTTCTTTTAAATGGGCAGTGGTTTAATCCTTCTTTGTCATTTGTTGTAGCTCCATCAGTGCATCACAACAGAGAGTTTTTCACAATAATAAAGTAACATTTCCACATGTGGGAGTTAGGAAGTCCAACAGGGAACAGGGCAAGTGGAGAAACGCACTCACTCGCTCCAGTCCTGCCACTGCTCACGGAGGTCAGAGGCAATGACAAATGCTGAAACTTGTGCTGTAGATCAAATTGGTACCAACTGGCTTCTGAGAGCTTTTTTTTTTTTTTTTGGCTTTAAGCATTTCAGCCCTTCATTTCCTTCCCTGACTGAGCGCCACCGATTCCATTATAAGTACAAAGCGGTGTAAGTTCCTTTTGCAAATCCATTCATCCTCCACTGGACTTGGGTACCCCACAAGACCCCCTCGACTCTCAAGGAGAACTACGCCTTTACGCCGTTCATTTAAAAGAAGAAGAAAAAGGAAAGCAGAAAGGTCAAGCCCATCACCTCTACCACCTCTACGGGGTTTCCATTCGCAGTCCCAGCAGTTTGAAAAGAAAGGGGTCAGAGAGAAACCCCCTGTCTTTCCCCCCCAAACTCTTGCTCTGCTGCTCTGCTTAGCAAAACCAGGAACACAGCGTGGGTCGGCCTTTCTTTATGCAAAATGGACGGAGGCACCCAATTTTCTGGGCTAACACCTTGAACCTGAAATAGTTCATCGGGGAAATCCGCCCATTTCCCCCCCTTTCCAACCGTAGACCCAGGCTATACACGCACCCTGGAGCAGGGGAATAAAATATTTATCGAACAGGTTTCAAGTCTTCGGGATCGCTTCCTCTTTATTGTTCTTGGACCTTCAGCCCTCCCACCCACCCAAGTGTTCCTGCCACCCCACCAACAGCCCAGCTGGCCCCGCAGAGCAGAAACGAACTGTTTTCTTCGTGACCTCTAAGCTCCTGCTCCCCGGGAAACGCGCACGACACTCAGCAGGCTCCGAGCCCGGCCGGTGGGTCCCGGGAGCATTTCTGCCAGAAAACCGAGTAGTAGCCACGGTGTTTGCTCCCGGCGCCTCGGTCGCGCACTCCCCTTTCTCCCTGTCCCCTTCCAGCGCTTCCCTCCCACCCGCCTGCAATCCACGACCCCACCGGACCCCCAGAGCAAACGGAAAGCCCGACACAGCAACAGATTCCTTTGTTTGACATGCAAATCCTACCTCCGGCTGTAGTCACATCTTCCTCAAAAGCCACGCTGGATTTTTAATGACAGCGATCCAGTGCAGTCCTCCAGGTAGCCACTGGCAATCATCCTCCCCTCTGGTGCCTAAAGCCTTTCTGGACCATGAATCGTCCCACCCTTGCTAACTCATAGCTTTAGGCTCAAAATGTCTGAAAGAGTTTGGAAGGACAATAGGAGTGACAGGCACTCTAGACAGACATGCTGAAATTAGTTATCAGGAGCTCCGTTCAAGCTGCTTCCGACTGTTTTTAAAGCGTGCAGAAGGTAGGATTTATTAGCCTATGATAGGCATGCTGTTTCTGTTTTTATTAAATACTGTAATAGGCTGTCTGTTAGCAATGCTGTGATAGGTCCAACATCCCTTCCCCACTGCTTTCGAATTCTCACATTCGAACGGGGAGAAGAGGGCTCAGACTTCCTTACAAAACTGACAGCCTACTGGGTCAGATGGCCACATCTTCTTTCACTACAGGAAGGACAACTACTTTGGCAAAGAGGCATTTTGACATAAAGAAGGAAGTAGGGAGTAAATACTTTGGATTTCCCCAAACCATTCCCCCAGTCTCAGCAAGCAACTTCTCTCTCTAGCTATCAGTGCTCTCTGGAGTTGGGAAAGAGCATCGATCGAAGCAGAAAGTGTTCTTCTAAGACAGAAGTTAGGGTACACATGGATACACATTTCAAATCAAGCTCTTGAATCATGTACTAAGTGGACGGGATGGATAAATGGGCACAGTAAGAATTGCTATATGATGGTTTGCAGAGGCTTGTGTAAGCAATCTAAGGTCATTTATTCATTATCAAGATGGGAAAACACGGCAGATGAAAGGGATGGGGAGGTGACCGTTTGGCCTTGGTTGAAAGTCACGATCGGGAAAGATGGAAGAGAGATTTATGAGCATTGTTGAGAGAGGAGGGTATTTCTTGGTTGGAAAAGCTACTTTGAAACATTGGAAGTACCCTTCCAAATAGGGAAGCCCCCACTCACCCCCCAAAAAAAGTTCTTGGCGACTTCCACCACTATGGAGAATGGTATATGCTTTAACTACTCAGATTAATTTTGATAATTAGCCTCTATCACTCAGTCCTTTGTCCTTGGCCTTTGCTCCCCCCAAGAGCAGTGGTTATGTAGTAGTTACTATGGAAACTACGTGGCCAGTGTCAGGGGAGGGGCTTAGGAAGGACACCTGATATAATATAGATGGAAATAGCTTATAGAACTGAAGATGAGAAGTCATTTTTAAAAAATGACTACAAAACAAACCCCCAAATGCAAACATGATTATAAACCATTACTATGAGCACCTAGTTATCAGCTATATCTGAGTTGTTCACATCTGAAAGAAGTTATCTCCCTCTTCTTCTTAAAACTCCTGGTTGCTGGCTTGAATATGCCTCTGGTTATATGAGCATGTTAGGTGCTACTTGACTGATCCAAAATTCTTTTTAGAAATAAAATTTCATTTAGTGGAAAAGTCTTCATATACCTCAAACCATAACCGTATTTCATCCTGAATATTTTATATTAGTTTCTCTAGAGCAAAATCAAAATCAGAAAATACTCGAATTTGAATTTCAAAAAATTATTCTGGCTCCATTATGTGGGTAGGACAAAATGAAGCAGCATATTTCACATTTTCATTTTTTGAATTTAAAAAACACACAATTTTTATGCCAGATGTATGTACAAAACCTTTCCAAGCTTCATGACCAACCAAGAGTAACCATTTCTTGCCAGAGTAATTAAATTTTCACAGTTGTAAGGAGTCTGGGGAATATAAAATGGTTGTCTTTAGTACTTCAGTCTCACAGTTTGTAATTAGAATAATTGACACCACTAAAATGAGAGCACAAAAATTCCAAAATGCAGCTTGACATCATTAGGTGAAAATTCTTCAGGACTTAATGGGAATTCAATTTGATATAGACAAGTATATCAACCAAAAATGGTATTGTAGGAAGGATTATTTCCAAGGAAAATAACTTATGAATAATCTCTTAAAATTATGAGAGCGTAATATTATGTTATATATCTCAATTTTTTAGATATGAGAAAAGTTATTCAATGATACCCTAAGCATCACTAAAAGTTATCTATGTGTGTTTTAAAGAAACACACAGGAAGGGGAGGGGAGAGAGAGGAACATTCAGAAAACACTCGAGCTGGATAATTTCCTCTAATTGATTCTGCATGCTGGTAATTCAGGAAACATCCATTCGTGGATATGGTTTGAAATTTGGGGATGAGGACATCAGAAGGGACTTGGATGTCAGTGATGTTGCAGGACATCTCCTTTCGGGAGGATCCAATCAATAAGGTCATCTGGACTTCCCTGAGAAGAAAAGAGGGTGCTGGCAGGGGCCGTCCTCCCATACAGGAGAATGTGGGAGCAGGTAGAAGATAATTTGTTGCAGTAATGCAGGAGGAGCAGGCTGAAGAGGAAAAGAAAAAAGAGATCTACTCTCCAAAAAGAAAAGAATTTCTCGAGGGAACATAATGTAAAAGGGCCCTGGATTTGGACCAAGGAATCCTGATCATGAAACTTGGTTCTAGTAGCTTGTTTGAGCCTCTCCTATAAAATGGAATGAGGAGAAAACGGTTATGAGATTGCAGTGATATGAGTCAAGGTACAGGATAAGGTATGAGCCAAGCTCTTGGTTAACTAAAACAGATACATAAAAATTAGTAATTACTTAGCAAGAAGAAAGAGGGATGAATGAATGATGAGGGAGGAGGAAAAAAACTGGAAAAAAAAAAAAAAAGGAATCATTGTTCGTGCCTTCCAATCAGTTCCTGCGCACAAGGAACCAACCAAGCAACAGAATGAAACTGCCCACTCCTGCCTCATCATCACCAATGTTACACCGGAGCCCATTGTTGAAGCCACTGGGTCGATTCATCCGATTCAAGGTGTTCTTCAGCACTGACCTTTTGCACTGCTTTGCCACGCATGATGTCCTTTTCCAGGGACTGGTCTCTCCTGATAACATGTCCAAAGTCTGTGAGACACAGTCGCTCCACCCTCACTTCCAAGGAGCATTCTATCTGTACTTCTTCCTAGACAGATTTGTTTGTTTTTCTGGCAGACCACAGTGCAGTCAAAATTCCTACTGACACTGTCATTCAAATGCATCAAGTCTTCCATCATCTCTCTGTTCACAGTACAGCTTGCATGCTTATATGAGAAGGTTGAAATGCCATAGCTTGGGGCAGGTACACCTTAAAGGCTCCAAGTGGTATATCTGCTCTTTAACACTTTAAAGAGATCTATTGCAGCAAATATGCCCAATGCAAAACTGTTAGATTTCTTGAATGATGCTTCTATGAATGTTGATTCTGGAACCAAGTAAAATGAAATCCTTGGTAAATGCAATAAGAAACAATAGATCTAATTCTAATGCATAGTAACTATAAGGAAAGAGAAAAACTGCTCACGGGGTTTCTGAGAATTTAAATCTTTTCAGAAGTAGACAGTCTATCAGAAACATAGAATTTCTCTCTTGCTTTCATTTTATTTTGTTTTTTCTTCCTTTATTACAAGATCATCTTATTGGGGCTCTTACAACTCTTATTACAATCCATACTTCAATTGAATCAGTGTTCTGTTCTCTGGAACAAATTCCATCAACCACTGCTCATGTGCTTCCCCTATTATGAAGTTCCAGATCACAAAATGTCTTTGGGACTTGCAACTTCTTCAGCAAGAGAAAAGCCTATGCTGGACTTGTTTTTATGAGCGTGTTTTACCAGTTTGTAAAACAACTGCTCTGAGTTTGGAATTCAGTAACTCTTAGCATTGCTTTTTTGGGGCTATAGTTCCCTAGAGAATGAAGTTTGGGCCAGAAAAGGCAGGATCTGAAATGATATTTCAGAGCTTATTACCAAGCACATTCAGCAAGAGTACTGTGCGCATCTGGAACTCAATAGCATTTCCAATCGCATCTGCTCACTGCATGCACATAAGAAAACTTGTTCTGGGAAGACTGGCGTATGTTAACAAATATTAGGTTGCGAACCAGAGCCTCGGTGACAGTGATGTGATCATCCACGCATAGAATTTGCCGTTTCCATGCACAACCTGCAAGTTAAATGGTTTCATGAATGGGGCGATGAATACTTAATTTCATTATGAGTCATCACTAGGAAAGTGAAATTTTGATAGATCCATACCCAGAAAATGTAGTGATCTATTACAACTACTGATTATGTTTTGCAGTGTATAATTTGTGCTCTCAGGAACACATAGAGTAACTTGTCTTGCTGTGATGGTTTTCCAGCAGCCCCAGAAAAATGCATGCAGAAACGGCTCCCTTCTGGTTTGATTCCTGGGAGCATCAGGCTGACTCACTCTGAAGTGAGCTTCAGCTTCAGTTTAGATGAAAGAGTTTATATGCACACAAGACATGCTCTCGTATAAACCTGACGTCCTAGTCCTAGGAATAATGGAAGGAGCACACGTGAAGAAAACCTGGCATTCAAACAGGCTTGGATTTCTGAGACAGAATCAAGTACCTTTAAAAAACAATGTTTCTTCTGATGCAAGTTTCTTTTTTTTTCAAGAAAGTGTACAAAAGACATATTTTTAAATTTACATTTATAGAGTAGACTGCACATATTTTATTCTTGGAACACGGTTGCTGGGAGCCAGGGCAAATATTGATAGTTCCATTTCCTGCTTGGGAAATGGAGAATGGGAGGTGAAGTGATTCCCTCAAGATCATCAGCCTGTTAGTATGTCTTCTGACTCATCACCCACTCTCCTTTTTATTTCATGAAATGCTGCCACTAGTTCCAATTATTTCTCCTGATCAAAACTTCCAGGAACTTTTTACTCTTTTGCCTTCTACTTCAGAAGATATATAAATATAGATTGCTTGGGAGGGAGGAACAAATGAATAAAAGTTTGTTCACATATTTCTGTATTTCCGGATGGAAATTTTACCTTTCTTTGTGGCTATTTATGTTTTTAGGGTAGAGTTGGTAGACATTTAAAAAGCTAAGTGATCTATTTTCACATTTTTATTATAATTTCATAATTTACATTAAATTCTATGGGACTGGAGGTTAAATGAGATTTCCCTGACGTGTGGACAACAAGGTTGGAGACATCTAGTGAGACTATTGTTTGAATCATCTTAAATTTTTTTGATTATCTTAAATGTAATTGTCTTCCCGTCTGTCTTGAGAAAAATTCCACTACCCATCTGTCTGTTGGTTGCATTTGGTAGCTTGCATGCTGCTGTGG